ATAGCATTTAACTATCAGTTAGTAGCTCAACATAATTGAAAAAGGAAGCCAAGTGTCACGCTAGATTGTGGATTTGAAAAAGCAAACAAAAGAAAAGTGAAGGATTAAAATTCTATTTTGGTGTATTGTTTCAATCATTTAGAAATCTAAAACATTTTAGAAATGTGTCAAAACACAATGGAAATAAATAATAAATTTAGAAATTTATTTCTAAAATATTTTGAAAATATTGGTAAAAATATACCAAAACATTTTAAAGCACCTCAAAAATTCCAAAGCAATTATGTAAATAAGATGAAAATATATTGAAATACCTCAAAACATTAAAATTTTGATTTAAGCATTGTTTGGATCATTTCCAAACAAAATTATGGCCCAAAATCTAGGCTGATGTATCATTAATCAATTTCACCCACATCCATTTGACCAAATACCATGGACATTCTCTCACATTACAAAAATAATATGACAATCTCTTGACATTTACAACTTGAAACGCCTTTCTTTGTAATGAATGTCAAAAACTTTAACGAAAAATGATGACATCAGACAAATAATGCACAATATTGGATTGGTTGGGGCAATAGTAATGGGTTTGCTATATTTTTATTGGATTTGTTTTGTTATTTGAAATCTTTTATTCTTCTTCAAATCAACTTAAGGTTAAAGAAGTCCATTAACACGGTCACCTTTTGAGGTTGTCGTGTCATTTTTGTAATGGTAGGGGATATCCATGTTATTTGGTCAAATGTTAGGCAGTATGAGTGGATTTTTGTTTTGTTAAATGAACACATATAAGGGGATACATGTATATTTTGATTATACATTACCCAACATCATACTAAAGTCACAAGAACTCAAGAAGGCCAACAAGCCCAAGTCCAAACACTACCTCCAACCTTTGGAGGAGTGTGTGATAGCTTATCAATCAACTTGAAACTCTTGTTTGGATAAATTATGTTCAAAATATGCATGTGTCCCTTTGTGTATTTTCATCAAAAAAAAGTATGGGTGAAATTTATTTTATTTATAAACATATAAGAAAAGAGAAAGAGAAACAAAAATTGGAGAGAAAGGGATAGAGACAGCTTGGTTGAGAAAGGAGGAAATAAAAAGGGGTAGAGAATCAACAATAAGGCAATTCTTCGAGCCCCTTAGTTGATTTATTTTTCTTAAAAATAAAAAGCTTCATTTATACAAGTAAGTTTGTGTATATGTATACATTTGGTGTAGATATAGGGGTGTTTATTGGAAGACTAAGTTTGTATCCTCCATGTTGTGAGTTGATAAATGCATATTAGAGTGCAAGTAAAGTTGTAATTGAAACTAATTGTGTATGAAATCAAGGAGTATAAGTAGTGAGAGCTGCACGAGCTTTGTGTGGTGTAAATGAGTTGTACGTGTATGATTAGAGTAATACTAAGCAAGAACACAAGAAAATAAGTGGTTCACACAACTGAAGAGTTAGACTAGTCCATTGTAATAGAGGCTCACGCTCCTTTGGTTTGTGTTACTTGGGGAAGAAGACAATTACATTTTTGAGATTACAATTGCCTGTCCTTTTGACAAGGTAAGGGCTGTCTATTTAGACACTAGGATAGTGTGATCCTCAAGCAATGATGGTGTGATCCCCTAGTTTATTAAGATATTTGAAGGAATATTTGGCCATTAGAGATTCTCCTCCCTAAGTATGACATGACATTCTAGAAGCTTGTGCCATGGTATTCTAGAGATGGATTAATCTTGTCTAAGGTAAGATTTGGTGTTTTAATGCCTCTTTTGTCCTTTCCCAGTATAATTGAGCTACTTCAATAGTTGTTGAGTTGCTTCAATTATTTATGAGGTGGTTCATCTTTTAGCTGACCTGGTTCTTGATGAGTCAGGTCAGCCAGATTGGAATTAGGTCAACCAGTTCATTAGTTGTATTGCAAACTTGTTTGAGCTTCATACTTCTTCTTGGTATCATCAGTTGCCCCCCATCCTTGAACATGGATGGTCTTAAGTTGGCCATTGGTTGGGGCTGAGCTAGGTAGATGAGGCAAACTTCAATGGTGTAGGTGTGGCCGAGCTCACTCGGGTAGAGTTGAGCACTCGAAATAGAGGTGAGCCGTTGAGGTTAAACCCTTGTTTTATCGTGCTCCTGGGGTTGCTAATAACCGATGCGATGTGATGGGATCATTTTTGTATTTCTGTTTAGCCATGCGAGCATGGTGCATTTTCTGTGCCTTGAACCTCGAGATGTGCCTATAGTACAATGACACATGGCTATGTGCTAAGGTGCATTAAATGCGCATGATGCTGGAAAACTGCCAATTCCCAAAGCTATTTAAATTCTTCCCCCTTTTTCCTGTGGTCTCATCTTCGTTTTCTACTTTATTCTAGATTCCAAAGATAGAAAATTTCAGAGAGTGCTTGAGAGAGAAGGTTTTAGAGAGAGTCCATTTGATGTGAACCCCAATCGACTTGCTTTGAAACCGAACAAAAATATTGGAAATACAACCCAAGAAAGTCAAATTAAGGTCTATGGATGGAGAATTTAGATCCGTTGATAACTCGTTTTAAGAGTCTAGATTATATTAAAATCTAGACCCATTGAAGAACCCGTCTCAAGAACCCAAATTACAAGGAGGAACGCCACAAAGGTTGTGATTTACNAGTAATACTAAGCAAGAACACAAGAAAATAAGTGGTTCACACAACTGAAGAGTTAGACTAGTCCATTGTAATAGAGGCTCACGCTCCTTTGGTTTGTGTTACTTGGGGAAGAAGACAATTACATTTTTGAGATTACAATTGCCTGTCCTTTTGACAAGGTAAGGGCTGTCTATTTAGACACTAGGATAGTGTGATCCTCAAGCAATGATGGTGTGATCCCCTAGTTTATTAAGATATTTGAAGGAATATTTGGCCATTAGAGATTCTCCTCCCTAAGTATGACATGACATTCTAGAAGCTTGTGCCATGGTATTCTAGAGATGGATTAATCTTGTCTAAGGTAAGATTTGGTGTTTTAATGCCTCTTTTGTCCTTTCCCAGTATAATTGAGCTACTTCAATAGTTGTTGAGTTGCTTCAATTATTTATGAGGTGGTTCATCTTTTAGCTGACCTGGTTCTTGATGAGTCAGGTCAGCCAGATTGGAATTAGGTCAACCAGTTCATTAGTTGTATTGCAAACTTGTTTGAGCTTCATACTTCTTCTTGGTATCATCAGTTGCCCCCCATCCTTGAACATGGATGGTCTTAAGTTGGCCATTGGTTGGGGCTGAGCTAGGTAGATGAGGCAAACTTCAATGGTGTAGGTGTGGCCGAGCTCACTCGGGTAGAGTTGAGCACTCGAAATAGAGGTGAGCCGTTGAGGTTAAACCCTTGTTTTATCGTGCTCCTGGGGTTGCTAATAACCGATGCGATGTGATGGGATCATTTTTGTATTTCTGTTTAGCCATGCGAGCATGGTGCATTTTCTGTGCCTTGAACCTCGAGATGTGCCTATAGTACAATGACACATGGCTATGTGCTAAGGTGCATTAAATGCGCATGATGCTGGAAAACTGCCAATTCCCAAAGCTATTTAAATTCTTCCCCCTTTTTCCTGTGGTCTCATCTTCGTTTTCTACTTTATTCTAGATTCCAAAGATAGAAAATTTCAGAGAGTGCTTGAGAGAGAAGGTTTTAGAGAGAGTCCATTTGATGTGAACCCCAATCGACTTGCTTTGAAACCGAACAAAAATATTGGAAATACAACCCAAGAAAGTCAAATTAAGGTCTATGGATGGAGAATTTAGATCCGTTGATAACTCGTTTTAAGAGTCTAGATTATATTAAAATCTAGACCCATTGAAGAACCCGTCTCAAGAACCCAAATTACAAGGAGGAACGCCACAAAGGTTGTGATTTATCTTTGATAAGTTCAGAAGTTCAATCAACAAGAAGAGGAGTAAACTCTACTCAACTCACAATTAAAACTCAATATATTGTCTCCTCTTTTTCATTGATTAAACACCTATTTATAAGGCTGGTCATTACAAGGAAACAAATCCTAATCTAAATAGAAATAAATAAAGACTAAAATTTGTGACCCTTTCTCTCAAAAATGCCCTCGAGTGAATAGTGTCATGGGTACTATAACATGAACAGTACCATGCTACTGTAACTTATTCTAAACCCTAGTTCAAATAAAATAATAAGACATATGTGGGCTAGGCATCCTGAAACCCACTTATTCTAAACTAATAATACAAATCCTTTAAACAAATTGAAAGCCTTAACAACAAAAGACCCTATCTCTAAGTCACGTCTTCATGTCTTCCACAGCTTTGATCAAGTGGATTAAAATTGGTTCTCTTTCTTTCAAGCCCATCTTGAGTGTTGGGCTTTTGCTAGCTTCATCCTAGGTGGAATGCACCAATCCTTGCATTGCTTCCTTGATCTTCTTGACTCTTGATCTTGTAATTGGCCCATTTGGACATGCAAAAGATCTTTAAGAGTAGACCCACCTTGGCTCTCATCACCATTGTTGCCTCTCAATCTACCGGTTTGCTTACATTTCCTTCTCTTTGCCTTTAATTTGGATCGATTTGATCCTTAGTTATGGTTATAGGGACTCCATTTTCTTGTTCTTTGATTTGCTACCTTGGGAGCCTTAATAGATCTTTGGTTTCTCTTTCTTTACTAACCTAGTTACTATAACAAGGACTTTTCTCCTTCATGATTGGTGCCTAGATCCTTGACCATTGAGGATTGATCCTTAAACCTTCCAATATTACAATTTAGGCTTAACTGTTTTTCCTCCATGGTCAGGGTGGTCTTTTCTTTCGAGTCTTCTGCTTCTTCTACTACCCATTCCTTTATCTTTGCTATGCTTGGGTATGAATTTGGCTAGGCAGAGGTTAGTTCATCTCATAGGGATGATGACGTCAAGCAAGATGAGGTTTTGTGAGACAAAAATCCCTTGGCTATTGTTAATATTGAGCAGGATGCTCCTTAACACCCTGAGGAAGTAATGCCTGAAGAGGTTGCTTCCTTGGAACTGTCTCCTAGGAAGGCTTCGAAGGGAAGTGTAAGAAGAGGCTGGCAAGGCCTTTGAGTGATATCCCTTCGAATTCTGCTGTCAATTCCTCAAACAAGGGGAAGAGGGCTTTGCATGGCCTAGAAGACTCGAGCTGGGCTACCCTTATGGTGCTTAGTAGAATTATTGAGGCTCGAGCTAAGGCCATCAGGAAACAATACAAGTTCCTAAATGACTTGGTCATCCATGTTCCTGCTCGGGATTAACGTTGCAACTTTTATCTCTATAAGAAGGTTTGCTTCTTTAAGGTAGCCTTCAGGTTAGTTTGAGATTTCCTATGCATCCTTTTATCTGTGCTATCCTCTATCACCTATGTCCTTCTAGAATCTATGCTAATGGATGATGTTTGTCAGTGGGTCTTCTCGTCTTTTGGCATTAGAGCAATATAAGGTCTTCAGCAACTATCCCCGATGTTTGGCGTATTTTCAGATTGTGGGCGTGCCAAATTCCAACTAGACTTAAGATCCAAACATGTACGACCTTACGAATTCAAACTGGCACGAGGTTTATTAAATCATGATTGTTTAGACAATTGTAACGAGAAGTAAAGTTACCTCAGAGCTCTTTTCTATGCCTTGGGATCAAGGATTTAAACAATTTTCTAGCTTGTAATAGAATAGACTATAATGTAGAAAGATAACTGGAATGTAAAGTAATAGAGAAACAAAACTTGGTAGATGAAAATATTATTATACTTAACATTAAACAAAGAGGAAAAAATACCGAAGTGATGGGTTACAAGTTAAAGTAAATTTGTTGGGGAAACAATCTAAGTAAAAGAGAGGCTAGCTCTGTGTACAGTTGTTGTGTTGATCAAAAACTCTTTCTTTGGTAGCATTGCCTTTTTTATTTCTAGGAGATAGCCCCTAATTGTGGAAGCTATCTTTTCTGGCTATGACTGTAATCATAACATTTTCCCTCGAGATATGTAGACATGCAGATGTGCACCAAACTATCTCTACTTGGCGATTTATGATGTCATGTTTCCTCATTTCTCGGGGTTCTTAGAGTCCCACTTCCTTAACTGCACTGTTAGGCTTGTACTCCCACTAAATCTTTGTTGACCATCGGATTAATTCCATGTGTCACCCTTAGATTTTATTATTTTGGTTGTAAAAGCCTGAATTCTTACATTTCTTCCATCTGAAGTCCTCTTCCTCCAAGGGCTTCTATTATTTCGCGAGGAGGACCAAGGTGGTAGAGTTGGTTGTTGACCCTCACTTTCTCCCATAAGATCTAGAAAGGAGGGCTTCTTATTTGTGTCTAGGGATGCTTTGGAATTTGAAGGTGGGGTTATTCAATCTCTTCAAGTTCCTCAGCTTTAGGAAGCCCCTGTAAGGTAATTTAGTTTTGTTGTTGTCTTTGTCTTTGGTGGGGTGTTTGATTTCCTGACCTGACCTATTCTTGTTGGTGTCTTAGTATAAGAGTCAGCATTGAGCCTGTTTGAGCTAACTTAAGTTGCCTAGGCTAAAGCTTACAACGCGAGATTTTACAAGGAGCCGGTGACAAGCGAGAATTTAGCCAAGTGCCAACTCAGTCCCTTAATTGAACAAGTGGTCCTGGCTGAGGAGGTTGAAGTAAACTCCACCAAGGAAGCTGCCACTGGTAAGTCTCCTTTGTTCCCTTTGATTTTTTTTTTTTGGCTGATCTCTTCTCTCTTTTTTTTTTTTTAAATTTTTTTTGTAGATCTTACTATGATGGTTCCTAATAAAGAAATGTTGAGGAAAGCCCTGGATGAGAAGAAACAAGTCAAGCTTGTAGGGGAAAATGGAGCTTCCAAGAAGTGGAGGTGCTTGATGAAGTCATCCGAGCTCCCCTTTCGTAATGTTGACCTAATAATTTCTGAGGAGGTCGTGACTCCTGACCTCCCTTCAACCCAAGAGAGGTATGAGAAAGCCGCCCCTATTGAGGTGCATGGTACCCTCGAGGTAAACCCTACTTGAGAGGTCAAGGTCCCCTCTGAGAGGGTCTCTGAAGTCGGGTTCCACCTGCGATGGTTCTATAATCTTCGATAATACATATCTAGCTACCGAGAAACTTTTTAACATCCTCCCTATGGCTGACCTATGCTAGTCAGCTAAGCTCAGCCATATAGAGAAATGCCATGAATGCACTCCACGATTTTGTTTCCGCATAACCTCTTTCCTTTCTTCTCCTCTTCTTTCCCTTTTATGAGGTTTATTATGAGGATTTCCTTTTATTTCTTATAGTCTTCTATCCACATAAATGCTCTTCTCTGTCAAACCCAAATATTTGAAAAGCAGAATGAGAAAAAGACAACTAAGTTTGCTGCTTCCAAGAAGCAATTGGAGGACCTTACCTTTCAGGTTGACACTTTCAAATATTTTGAGTTGTCATTGAAGGAATAGCTAAGCTTAAAAGAGGCTGAGCTTTCCAAGGTGAGCGAGTGGCAAACTCTAAAAAGGCTAAGGCTGAGGAAGAAGTTGTGCTACTAGGGGCAAAACTGGCTGACGCTATGAAAAGGTGCTCAGAGTTGGAGGCCGAGGTGAAGGCCAAGGATAATACTATTGGCGAACTGAAGAAGCAACCTGTAGGTAGCTATGTAGATGGGTATGAAGAGCTTAGAGAACAAGACAAAATTAAATACCATCAAGACAAGTTTTCAGAGCTTGACTTTGATTCCTTTGAGCCTTCACTTTCTGAAGAGGCTAAGGAAGTAGCTGAAGGGGCCACTACGAAGGAGTTGAAGGTTATGCCGAGCTGCCTGTAGATATGACTGATCAAGAGACCGATAGGTCTAAGCAAAATGCTATGAGCTGAGTAGCTAACTTTTTTTCCTTCAAAAATTTCTAAGTGTTAGGACACTTCTACTTCCTATAATTTGAACTCTTTTGTTTGTAATAAAAACTCCTTTGCCCTCTGTGTTGCTTTCCTTTTCTTTTTTTTGGTGTGATAGTTGTGACTAGCCCCTTTAGCTACTAGAAGGTGTTAGCCTTACAAGAGTGAAGACTTCAACAAGTGTCGAGTTCTTCCTAAGGTTTTGGTTGTTCATTCTTTACTTTGGGTGGCCCCCTAGACTGAGTAGCCTAAACTTATAGTGATGGGAAAGCTCTAGCCTTTGTAATATTACCATTGGAAGACTTGTTAAGCTCTGGTAGTACTAGGAAAGCTGGGAGCAAAACTAATCATGATAATTAGTTCTCCCTACCTAGCTAGCACGACAAAGAAGCAAGTTGAACAACATTATCTATAATTTGAAAGTCAAAGGGTCCCTAAGACGAGGTCAGCAACACGCCTAGAGTGGAAAGATAGTTAAAAGGTGGACACCCCTTAATTCAAAGGAGTCTTTGCCCCTTACCAAACTTATATGGGATTCAAAAAACTCCCCCACATGGAGGAGTCCTTCCCATCACTTATAAGAATAGACTCCAACCATTTGAGAAGTCCTGCAAGGATAAGGAAAGCCAGATTCCCCAAATATAAGAAGTCTACTTCTTTCTAGAACAAATAGAGGAGCTTAGAGTCCACTCCTCACCTACTATCCATTCAAAATACTATAAAAAAGGGAGCCTAGGGGAAGACCAAGGTTACACAACATCAATCATTGTCTATACCTTCATACACTTTCTGGCACATACTGATTTGAGCATCAAAGGGTTGACCCCCGGAGCTCCACCTCTAGTCTTCAACTTTCTTTTCAGGTCTTTTAGCTTACGAAAACATCATTTGGAGACTTGAAGAGCTAAGTCAATCCTACCATAAGTTGTTCAAGCTATTTGGAAAGGTGATCAGTAGCAAGATAACAAGCTCATTAGCTTGCATAAAGGTTAGGCTGATTTTTTCACCAACACATACTTTTTGAGGAAGAGCTAAAGAGCTCTTCAGTAGAAGAGCCTGTCATGAAGGGAAGACCGAAAAATTTCTTAGGCTAAAGAGCCTTCTATTGATGGAATAACTCTTAGGCTGAAGATCTTGTTGTTAAAAGTGAGTTGGAGAGATTTTAGGTCAAAAATCCAATTACTTGTGGGATGAGTTAAAGAGCTCTTAGGCTGAGAAACTTGTTGTTAAGGGAACATTTGAAGTGCTCTTTAGGTTGAGAAACCTATAGTTAAGGGAAGAGGCTAAGAAACCTGTCATTGATGGAAGAGCTGAAGAACTCTATAGGCTGCGAAACTTGTCTTACCATTTTTAACAACTTCAATGCTATTAAATAACAAACTTCGTAAAAATTTTGTTGACTAAGGAGTATTACTAATGAGTTTCTCTTATTGGAGGGATTTTTTTACATAAAAGGAAGGAAAAATTAGGGGCCGACATGACTTTGCTATTGATAGTATTTACTGAGATGTTATGCATTCCAAGAGTGTGCCCTTTGTTAGTTTGCAATTCATAGTTCCTAGGTCTAATTGTCCTTTTCACCACGTAAGATCCTTCCTAGTTAGGCCAGAGCTTTCCATGGCATGAAACTTTTCTAGCTAGCAATAATTTCTTCAGAACTAGGTCCCATACTTTGAAACTCCCTTTTTTGATCTTATGGTCATAATAAAGAGCTATCCTCCATTGGTAAGCCACAATCCTCTGCAAGACTTCGTTCCTTTTCCATTCAAGAGGTTTAAGTTGAGTAGCAAAGACACGTCGTTCAGCTCAAGATCAAACAACTCAGTTCTTGGGGATGGAAGATTGATCTCAACTGATGCAACAACCTCAATTCTGAAGGCCAAGTTGAATGGTTTCTTTTTCGTGGTAGTCCAAACTATTGTTCTATACACCCATAGCACGCTTGGAAGGTGGTCTACCCATTGATAATTTGATGTTTCTAACCTTGTCTTTAATGCCTTGGCAATAGTTTGGATAGTCACTTCAGCTTGACCATTGAACTGATGATGAGCAAGTGAAGAGAAATAATTCTTGATTCCCAGCCCACTAGAAAAACTTTTGAAGCCATTATTATCAAACTGTTTTCCATTGTTTGACACTATGGATCTAGGGATCCCAAAGCAAAAAAAAAATATTTTTCACATGAAGTTTTTTATTTTTTGTTTAGTGATGGTTGCAAGTGGCTTGGCCTCTACTCATTTTGTGAAGTATTTGATGACTAGTACTGTGAACTTGCACTAACCCACCCTTATGGGGAAAGGCCTTACGTTATCGATTTCCCGCTACTGGAAGGGCTATGAGATTAAGATTGGGGTGAGCTGCTCTAGTGGTCACCTTGATATTGGAGTGTATCTGACACATCTTGCACTTTCTGATCAGGTCGGTTGAATCCTTTGTGACAGAATGCCAAAAGTAGCCCTGCCTCAATGCTTTGTATGCCAGTGTTTTCGCCCCAATACGATTTACACAAATTCCCTTGTGAATCTCCCTAAGCATGTAATTTGCCTCAGCTAAGGGGATGCACTTTAGGAGCGGCCACGAGTACCCTTTTTTTTATAGCTTGCCTTGTATTATCAAGAAATAAGCTAAACTATTTTAGAGTTTGGAATCCTCCTTTGGATCTCGTGGAAGGGTTCCTTCATAAAGATAAATGAATATGGGTCCATCTATTTCAGGCCCTCTTCTATTGGCATGACCTCCTCCTCTATTGAACCTTGGGCAATGCTGGGTTCTATTAGGTGCTCCATTAGGACTGTTCTTTCAAAGTTTCCTTGTGATGGTGTTAGCATTATTACCAATGAATCTATTCTGGCATTTTATGCTCTTGGTACTTATAACATTTTTCACATGAATGAATTCCGTAGAAGCTTGTTGACAACCTTGATATGTTGCCATTTTCTCCTATTTTGCATTGTATTCAGACCCGACCTGCCTTATCATCAGTTATGAATCTCTATGGCTCAGTAGTTGTTGAGCTTCCATTGATTGGGCTAATTTTTGCCTGACAATCAATGCTTCATACTCTACTTCATTGTTGGAGGCTTTGAAATTGAATCCTAAAGCATATTTAAGGTCAGTACCTTCCGACGAGGTCAGGATAAGCGCTTCGCTTCCTTGGACATTAAAGGATCCATCTACGTGTAGATCCCAGACTGAGATATTGAGTAAAAAATCTTCCTTTTGTTGAGCTGTGAATTACTTAGGAAGCGAAGTGAATTCAACTATGAAATTCGCTAGGACTTAACCCTTGATCATTGTTTGTGACTTGAACTTGATATTGAATTCTCTGATCTCAATGAACCACTTGACCAAACAGCCTAAAGATTCAGGTTTGTACATGACCAGTTTCATTGGTTGGTCAGTGGGTACCTCAATGGTATGAGCTTGAAAATAAGACATTAGTCTTCTTGTAATGATCACCAGGGCTAAGACCAACTTCTCCATTTTTGGGTATCTCTCCTTGGCTCTCCTTAAGGTTTCGCTACAAAATTAAACTATTTTTTGGATCTTCTCATCCTCTCTAACTAAGGTAGCACTAACTAAGAACAGGGCCTTATTGGAATGATAGTCCCAAGATCCGTTGATAGCGCGTATTGTCAAATACAAAAAAATTAGTTGTATGTTAACCCCACAAGGCGGAATTAGGGTATAGCTTTGATGAGCAGGGCAACACGAATGAGGACAGATACAGATCGAATAGTCGGCTCAATAGTCCTTCCACACCAAAATCTGAATGTAGTGTGGGCTACAATCCTCAGAACTTTCTCCCTTACTTTCTCTCTCTCTACCTTTTCTAAATGTGATGTAAAGTATATGGCTGAGAGAACCAGAATGTGAGTGTATTTATAGGCTACAATAAGGACCCTAAGGAGAAATAAGGATTGAGCTTCCAATGGGCATAGAAATCCTATGTCTAACCCTGAACAAACATCTTATGGTCCATTAATAATAAATTAGTTTACTAAAAAGTTAATATTGATCGCTCGGACCTTATCTAAGAAATTATATTTTGAACTCCTTGTTATTGTATGCTTAATAATTTATCCTTGTTTAAGATTACAGATTTATGTCAATAAGTAAAATTTTTGACAAGGATATTTAATTGACTTCTTTTTATCCTTGAGATCTTACCGTTTAACTTATTTGTCATGTCGAATAATTAAATTCGCTTGTAGGGTTTGACATGCACAACACTTAAAAGCTTGCTCAAGAGGATACCATTAACTCATTTAAATACCAGGATGTAGTTTCCTTTAATAATTAGTTTTCACTATACAAATAATGTCATCTACCAATTCATCGAGTTTGTTGACTCAATATGAATCTCACTCTTTATGAATTAAAATTACAATCATTACAAGCAAGTGTCCATTAAATATCTTAGAATTAAGAGTTTAAGTAATCATAATAATCACAAGATATTTATTTTCTTATTTAATCAGTAAAAAGATAATAACCTTAATAACGGTCATGTTCAATACATAAAGTGTACTAGTACAACAATCCAAGACATTAAACAGTCTCCTATAGCCAAGACAGAATATGCCAGAAGATTGCACTACAATCCTATTGATGGTGTGTCCAATTTTATCTAACACTGTGAACATTTGCTCATATCATATAAAGATCTGATAATCTGATCATCTATGTATAAGCCAAACTTTACACACCAGATTATTTATAATATAAAATAAAAGACACATGCATAACTTATATTCAATATAATGCAAATATTTTTCCTATATAGATTCTCAATAGAAAATTAAATTTTTTATTAAATAATAATCTAAGTTTCATTACAAAAAGTAAACTTTCAATATATAACTCTATCAATTCTCCCACTTATCCTCAAAGTTATGTTGTCATGCATCTAACTCTCATTCCCTCCATGTG